GGGGGGGGGCGGTGACTACAATAACCCATATCTATAAAAACTCCACTCTGAATGCAGACTGGGTCTCAGTTCTTTCCTGAGATGTCCGCCTAGTCTGTCAGGTGCATCTGTTCATTAAGCTTGGCTAGCTTGCTTACTGCTGCTTTGCTTACATCTGAAATTCTTTTCTTTCACATAGACAAGAACTTCTGATCAGCCTGTCTCCTGTAACTATTTCATTTCTTTTTTTTTTTTTTTTTTTTTTTTGACAGGTAGAGTTATAGACAGTGAGAGAGACAGAGAGAAAGGTCTTCCTTCCATTGGTTCACTCCCCTAATGGCCGCTACGGCCAGCGCTGTGCCAATCTGAAGCCAGGAGCCAGGTACTTCCTCCCAGTCTCCCATGTGGGTGCAGGGACCCAACCACTTGGGCCATCCTCTGCTGCCCTCCCAGGCCACAGCAGAGAGCTGGACTGGAAGAGGAGCAACTGGGACTAGAACCTGGCACCCCAACCAGGACAAGAACCCAGGGTGCTGGCACCACAGGCGGAGGATTAGCCAAGTGAGCCACAGCGCCAGCCTTATTTCTTTGAATATGGTATCTTCTCACCCTGGGAAAATCTGCAAGAAATTTCCCCTATTCAATGTCCAGGGAGAAATAGGTTCTTTGTAAGTAAAACAAAATCTTCATATCTTTAGGAAGAAATTGGAACTTGAAAGAAGCAGCACCGAATTGGAGATGCCCATGTCTCCATGCATTCTTAGACTCTATACAACCAAAAGTTTGGTACCTCCAATTGTTTATCCAGTTGTTTAACAGATATGGTACCACATGCCCTGTCTTGCAGTCTGCGTGAGGCTGAGAGTGTCTCATCAACACGTTAGTCATGGAAAGCTCTGAGAAAAGTACTGGCCTGATGTTAGGTGGTTTGATGTCTGACTTTTTGTCAGGTAGAAGGAACTCTCTAGTCCAGTTGGGATCCTAACTGACTTCTTCGTGTCAGCTTCATGGTCATTTACAAATACATTTTTGGTTTTTATCTTCCTGTTATTTTTCCAGTTCTGGACATCTCTTCTAGTTTCCCCATAATTAAATAAATAGAAACAGCAAAACAAAACAGCATTTGAGGACACCATTTTCTCCAAGAGCCTGCCCTCCTCCAGTGCTATAAGGAAAATGAAGACATCGACATTTGGAATCTTTAATGTCAACTAAGATTCTAAACCAGTTTGAGACATTGTCCCAGTGGTCATATTAGGATGATGAGGTTATGGGCAGGGATGCCATGTAAGGCTGCCTACCTTGTGTACTGCACAAAGGGCCCACCCGGTGAGTAAAGGCTGATGGATATCCAGCCCTTCTCTGCCCTTCTCTGAAGGAAAGAGGTTTTCTCTGGGCTATTTGACTGAGAAGCCATTTACTTACGGTACTGCACCTGCCCAGAGAGGACAACTTTGTCAAATTTGTACAAAGAGTTTACACAAGCTAGAGATCTTGACTACAGGTGATTGTTTTGATTCTGACAGTGAAGTGGGGATGGGGTCAACTGTGTGGAAATGAGTAGAGCTGTGATTTTTCTTCCACTTTAAAACAATTTTGCCAATACTGAAGAAGAATACTTTAACACTTCTTTTAGGTATTTTTCACAGATGGGCTTAAAACAAATTTGCAAGAGCCATGCCTGCCTCTATTCCTCCTCTCAGGGTGTATATCTGAGATCCTAATCTTTTCTCAGAGCTTTCAAGGTGCCTATCCCAAAAGTCATAATGGCCACTTTCTCAGCCTGGCTTATTCAGAATCTACCCTTAGTGGCTCAGTATCTACTCCGCATTCCCTCACGCCCTCCTAAGCAATCTTGGTAACCCCAGTGGTTTTGATTTCACCAACTGCTGATGACTCTGAAGTCTGACCCTCCAAGCTGGGGTCCTTTCCTCAGCTCCGTGTCACTGTGCACACTGCCTGACAGACATGCTTACCTGGTATTTCTTTGGCACTCCAATGAGGCAGGTCCCCAACCAAATTTGTCATCTCCCTTCTCTGCTGCCACACAAACTTTTTCCATTTCTCAGGTATTGGCACAGTCATCCAGCAGCTGTCCCAAAAACCAGGAGTAACACCCACAACCATGTCCCCAGTTCTTCCTAATGCTTCCTCTTGTCCTCATTCTCACTTCCTATAGGCCATGGCCATCTCTTGACAAGGCAACTGCAAAGGCCTAACTAGTGATGCCAGATCCCAGCTCTCACCTTTTCAAGTCTCCTTTATGCTGCCAGAATGATTTTTCTAAACTGCAAAGCTGAACCTATTCTCTAATAGAACTTCTCCAACTCCAAGTTAAGTACTCCTGGTGCATGAAAAATGAAATGGGAGAAGTCAGAAGAGCAGGAACCAGAAAACCCACCCACAGTAAGAAGTTTCACTTTAAGACACTGTTTTTAATCTCATTTTTGAGATTTTGGATTGTATTCTATAATACATCCATTTTTGTTTTTAAAGCACATATCTCCAAAGCTTCAAGCAAAATAAATCCTGCAAAAGGTATGCAGGGTTTATGCTGTGGCTTCAGGAGCCCTCAGGCCCTCCTAGTTGAAATCTGCGTCCCTTTGCGTGATACACAGCAACGTTCTTGACAGTTGACTGTTCATCTCCACGTCTCCAGGACTCCATCCAGCTTCTTGCAGTTCAGTGCACTGAATTCCTTGCAATTCTGTGACTATCACGCTATTTCCCATTTCAGGATGTTTGCTTACACTGTTTCCTAAAACTAGAATGCCTCCCTCCTCTACCTATCTGCTTGTCTTCAGGCATTGGCTTACCCTAGGAAGCTCTTCATGACAAACCCCAGCAAGCTGAGTTAGCCATCCTCCTTTTATATAACCAAAGTCACCTCTCCCACAGCACACATTCACTAGATTTTAATTCATTGTTTTTGTCTCTCTTCACCCACTGGACTGTGAACTACTTCATATCAGGGTGTACATTTTATTCATCTTGTACTTCAAGGAGCAGTACCACGCCTGACACATGGTAAGACAGGAGGTAAATATGAATGTGAAAATTCATTCCAGGGCTGACCAGGATTGATTTGGCTGAGTTGGATGACCACAGCGACGTCCCTTTCCCCTCTCATTATCCCTTGAAGATTCCTTCTACTCCTATTGCCAAATAGGATGATCCCAGACCAGCAAGACTCTCCAGACAAGGATGTCATAGCTTTCCTCTCCTGAGGAACCCTCCAAACTCCCATGATCTGATACTTAGTAGATTTTCAATGAATTTCCACTAAATATCTGATTGAATCAATGATCCTCACCATTGCTCTCTTAGATTAAGTTGCCTTATATTTTCTCAACCTTATCTGTAAGAGAATCCTGATATCTGAAATCTCATGATCTAACAATATATCAACACTTTACTACAATCCAATAAATGTATAACTAATAAATGAAAGAATGAAAAAACTGATGTCTTCATGTGCAATTCTATTTTTCTTTTCTTTTTTAAGCTGCCTGTGTAGACTATTGCTTTGAGAAGAAGCTTTCTGGGTTATGGACATGTTCTATATTTCAGTCTGGGAGCTAGTTATTCAAGTGGGTTTCTATCAGTAAAGTCATTGATTTATTTTAATTAATTTATTTATTTGAGAGGTTGAGTTACAGACAGTGAGAGGGAGAGATAGAGAGAAAGGTCTTCCTCCCATTGGTTCACTCCCCAAATGGCCGCAACAGCTGGAGCTGTGCTGATCCAAAGCCAGGAGCCAGGTGTTTCTTCCCAGTGTCCCATATGGGTGCAGGGGCCCAAGCACTTGGGCCGTCTTCTACTGCTTTTCCAGGCCACAGCAGAGAGCTGGATTGGAAGAGGAACAGCCAGGACTAGAACCGGTGCCATAGGTGGAGGATTAACCTACTGCACCATGGAGCAGGCCCCATCTGTTTTTCTTAAACAGTACATTGTACCCATTTTAATTTTTTGCTCTAAAACCTGGTATGTTTATCAACCTGCTAAGTAAGTAACTCATCTCACAGAAATTGAATCTTTACATATTGATAATGATTGAAATTTCTTTTTGAACACCTTATCTATGCCTGGTATGATTTTATTTTTTTCTCAGGTTTCAGCTATAAAATTTCAGACTCCTTTAGGAGTAGAACTTTCGGGTGGCTTTGATCTCTACCATGGCTAATATAATGTAATGGATATAAAACCATTGTCCTCCAGGTAAGGACTAGCTCTGTTCTAAGTATTAACGCACAATAAACATGCCTTTGAAGCATCGTATGATTCTTAAACATTTTCATAGAACTAAATGAGAGTGCTTGGTATTCTACATGACCCACACTTGGTGTTCAGTGAATATTTTGCTCATCCCTTATTTATTCTCATCTTGACCTAACCAAGGAATAGAAGATCTGACTCCTGTGGAATTTCAGAGCCAAGTCCACTTCTATTTAAAGGCAAGAATTCCCTTTCCCTAGCCACCATTTGGTGATGGTCAGGCTGCCAAAGCCTAATATAACGCATTTCCTTTTTGGCTGGGCATAAGTCAAGCACATAGAAACTTTAGACTGGGACGGATTTTGTCTTTCCTCTACTCAGGGCAGTAGTCTCCACTTTTCTTTTTATGAATGAATACTTCTACCATTTAAGTTTCTGACGAAATATCATCAATGTATGCATACTTATTTATAAATTATATACATATATACCATACCCATGTATCTGTGCTTTTATAAAACCCATCAAAATGGAAAAGTAAAGTGGTTTAAAATGAATAGCACCAGAAGTTCTCATATTTTCTTCTCTCAGCCCAGTGAATTATGTCAAACTAGCTCACTATCTGAAAGGATTCACAGCTTGCTTCTTGACAGCTTGGAGGGAGCAAGACTCTCCAATGTGAAGTCACTAAGTACATGAGGCCCTACCTCCCTCATTGGCTCGCTTCTCTCAGTGAATCCCACCAAAAGCAATTGGCTTTACTTTAGAGGAAAAAAATGATAATTCAATGATTGATGATTTAAAAGGCTTTATTTCCAAAGGTCATGCTAAATGCTGTATTTCCTTCCACATGAAAAAAAAAAGTAGGCTGCCAATTCTACTGTAGGATAAGGAAAAAAGCAAAAAAGGCTACAGTGTATACCTCAAGCATGTCAAAATGCTATGGTAAGGAAAAGGAGGATTTTATCTCACAGAATCACAAGCACTGAACAACTTAATTTTGCATCCCAGGAAATCAGCAGTCATCAACATGGCATTTCGCAAAATACTTAGGATTTGTGATAGTAACATGTACTGCAGTGGCACTCTGTGTGATTCTCCACTTTGGCATTTCCCATTACTGTAGCCTAAAGGGGAAGAAAAAATATGATAGATGATTAGATAGGTGGTACATAGACAGATTATATATAATAGACAAAATTGAAAAATGATACATAAAATTGTTTATACCCAGTTGAACTAAATAGATACTTCTACCATTTGCATTTTCTTCCTTTCAAGGGATAGTTTTACCATAAAAGGTTAGGTTTGCCATGACTAGGTGTGCTATACTTCAACCCAACATCTCCTCTTGCCACCTCTACCCCATTCTCTTCTTTCTGAATAAGTCCAGTCTATATTCACAAAGCAACTGACTCTTAATTGCAGGATACAAATGCCCAGCAAAATATGGGTCATTAGACACCTATGACATTGAATCCTGTGGCTGTGCTCTGTGAATATTTCTCTGGTTGGGCTGACAAAAAGCTGCTGGGGCCCTTGAACTTCTTACCTTGGTAAAGGCTTTAGCCACACAGCATGTGGCCTCTGAGGTGATGTTCTTGGGAACCAACATCGTCTTCTTGGATCTTGCTGGAGTGGGATAGGCTCTGGAAAAGCAGCAGCCCATGCACTGGTAAATTGGGGCTCCCAGCTTGGAGAAGTATTTGTTTTCTTTTAGCTTACATTCTGGACAACCTATCAGAAAAAACAGATTCAAGGAGAAATTATAATTTTTTTGTTATTATAAGATGGTAAATATTCTTCTTTATATTTAAAATATTTTCTGCTGTATGTTAGTTTCCATTGATATCTATTTGAATTGATGGTAATTATTTTTGAGGAAAGGCAATTTTTGGAGACATGCATGGGAAATCTCAGTCGTAGTAGTTTCTGGCTCTCCCAGGAGCAGATTCTCTGTCTCCGTGCTAATAGCATGCCCAGAAGAAACAAAATTTGACAGATGAAAACACCACATTCATTTGGAAGGAGAATTTTGCCCAGGGGCAGAATGTTTCCCCTTTAGAATCTGCTATTGTTTTTTTCCCCATAGAAACTCCAAATATTGGCAGAGAAAAATATGTCAGAATTAAGAAAGCTTGATGAGTGTAGAGAGCCTGATATTAAATCAGGCATCTGCACTGGGGCCTGGGATTAAAATATTACCATTTATCTAGAGAGAAACTCTAACCAATAATATCTCACAATGTCAAGCCAATGGAATTATATCAGGTGCTAGATGAGATTTTTTCCCCAACAATACAGCAAACAAATTTACTGCATAAAATGGTTTGTTTTTCTCACTTGTTAACTGATGTGAAAATTCATCAACAAAGGCAATGCTAAAATCTTCTCAAATGTCCTGGGAGAAATGTACCCAAAACATAGAACAGTTAAATGAATGAGAAGTATTTTCTTCTTGTGAAACTTAGATAAAGAATCATAAGGTATGTATTTCAGACAAAAATGTACAGGCTGCTATTTAATGGATATGTAAGATATCGTTTTCACTGTACATTTTCTGAACTGAATTTAATTTTATGTTCACAACCTACAAGTGACTAGATACATATCCAGCAGCGAAGATTTATCACATTTGCTACGGAGATGGAAATGTAATTAATGGAGTTATTGATGTAGATCTAGAAACTGTTCTCCTTACTGCTTCAAACCCAAGTTTGGTCACGCACCCTGCATTGCAAACTCGCCATCAGGAAAGGAATGGAGAATGTGCAGAAACACAGACAATGTGGCCAGAATGACGGCTGCATATTTTCTGTAGTAACCCATGGCTCTTCTGCAAAAAAAGACATGGCAAAAAGAAAATTAATGTGAAATTGGCTTCCTGGTCATGAAAACAATCAATAGTCTCAGCGTTATCAGTCATAATAGTCACCAATGCCTTGATCCCTCTGGTTTCAGCTCCCAGCATTCTTTAAAGCACTGTAAATTTTAAAAAATCCAACTTCTCTTTAGGAGAAAAGTAGGGAGTTGAATCTTTCCAGCTCTCATATAAGCCAATAGATTAGGCCTAACAGCAACCATAAACCTTCTTTTGAAATATGTTGTCCATTAATAAGCCTGATTACTTCATTTATAAACCATGGAACTTAAACTTGGTAATATCTAAGAATATACACATAAACTTCTATATAATATATAAAATATATAATCACTTGAAACCATCCTTCCCATTTCTCACATTCCCAAGCTAGAGAAGAGAAAGAAGGACAATGTTTATCCTGCTTTTCACTCACAGGTGGTAGGTGAGGTCAAAATTCTTGTTAGCAATGAGCAAATGGTAACCTAACAAGGTGGCAGAGCAGACAACAGAGAATGTTGACTAAAGTCTTCCATTTCAGTTTCCCATCAGGTACATTTATCCTTTCTTTACATACCTATACCTATAGATACAGCTTGACCTTAACAGTGTGTGTGCATAACTTCACTGCATCTGAGAATGAGGAAACACAGAAAACTGGATTGCATCCTCACGTGTCCTAGGAATAATCTTACATTGGATAAAAGGGACAGTTTTCATTCCCGTTTATAAGTGAAAGAGTTATGTATACTCATGTTGAAACCATGAAAGATAACAGAGACAGAATATCAAATGCCAATAAAAAGACAAATCATAACATCTTAAAAAAAGGAAAATTAAAAGCAATTTCACAAAATTTCTTTTAGAAAATTGAAGAGGAAACAGTTCTCAACTCATTCGATGAGGTCAGGATTACCCTGAAAACAAAACCAGGCAAAGATAAAACTGAAAGAAAGAAAACAGAAAATTGCAGAACACTGTCACTTATGAAATTAGATACAATAATTCTAAACAAAGTAACAGTAGACTGAGCCCAGTGGTTAAGACATCAGTCTCCCGTGTTGGAGTACTTGGACTCGACACTCAGCTCTGGCTCTTGACTCCAACTTCCTACTAATACAGACCCTGAGAGGCAGCTCAAGTAATTGTGACCCTGTCACCCATGTTGGAGACCTGGACTACGTTCCAAGCTCCCAGTTTTCACTCAGGCCAGCCTTCATCACGGTGAGCATTTGGGGAGTGAATCAGCAGATGAGATCTTATATTCTCTCTCTCTCCCTCTCTTCCTCTCTCTCTCTTCCTCTCTTCTCCTCTCCTTCTATCTATCTTTCTCTCCATTTGTCTCTCAAATAAATAAATAATATTTTAACTATTAACAAATGATCAACTTGGAATAATTCAAGGAATACAAAGCTGACTCAAAATTTGGAAATCACTTAATACAATCTGCCATATCAATAAGTTAAAGATGAAACAAGTTGGCCGGCGCCGCGGCTCACTAGGCTAATCCTCCGCCTTGCGGCGCCGGCACACCGGGTTCTAGTCCCGGTCGGGGCGCTGGTTCTGTCCCGGTGCCCCTCTTCCAGGCCAGCTCTCTGCTGTGGCCAGGGAGTGCAGTGGAGGATGGCCCAAGTGCTTGGGCCCTGCACCCCATGGGAGACCAGGATAAGTACCTGGATCAGCGCGGTGCGCTGGCTGCAGCGCGCCGGCCGCGGCGGCCACTGGAGGGTGAACCAACGGCTAAAAGGAAGACCTTTCTCTCTGTCTCTCTCTCTCACTGTCCACTCTGCCTGTCAAAAATAAAAAAATAAAATAAAATAAAAAGATGAAACAAGTTATATGGTTATATCGACTGACTAAGGGAGAACATCTGGCAACATCTAATCTCTTTTATGATAAAAACTCTAAGGAAACAAAAATCAAGGAAGCTTATCAACTTGATTTTAAAAAAATCGTACAGCTTACATCAGACTTAATGGTGAAAAAACTGATCGTATTTCCCCTAAGATCAGAAGCAGGGCAAGAATGTCCACTTTCACCCCTTGATCAACATAGTATTGGAAATTCTGGACAGCTCAAAAAGGCAAGAAATAGAAAAGCACACAGATTGGAAAGGAGGAAATAAAACTACCCCTATTCATAGATGTCCTGATCACCTATGTGAAAAGGAAAAAGAAGAAGAAAACTCCAAGGAAAGTACAAAAAGAATCTGCTGGAACTGTTAATAACTTCAGTATGATCGCATAGCCCAAGAACAACATTCAAAACTTAATTGTATTTCTATACATTAAAAATAACCTGGAAACAAATAAAAAACACAATGCCATTTACAATCACTCCAAAAACAGTATTTAGGTATAAATCTAACAAAATATGTCAGGACTTTTATGCTGAAAAACTACAAAATTCTAAGGAAATTAGATCTAAATAAATGGGAAAATATATCATGTTCAAGCCTTGGAAGAATCAACATAGTAAAGATGCCAATTCTCTTCAAATTAACCTGTTTTTTTGAGTAAGATTCCTACCAAAATCCTATCACAATTTTTGTAGATGTATTTAAGACTATTATTACTATAAATAATAATACTGACAGGCAAATGATCTAGAATAGATAAAACAATTATAGAAACAAAATGGAAGGAATCACTATTATCAGTGTTAAATCATATAGCTGGGGCCAGTGCTGTGGTGTAGCAGGTAAAGCCGCTGCCTGCAATGCCAGCATCCCATATGTATGCCGGTTCTAGTTCCGGCTGCTCCATTTCGATCTGGCTCTCTGCTATGGCCTGGGAAAGCAGTACAAAATGGCCCAAGTTCTTGGGCCCCTGCACCCATATGAGAGACCTGGAAGAAGCTCCTGGCTCCTGCCTCCAGATCAGCACAGCTCCGGCTATTGGGGCCAATTGTGGAGTGAACCAGTGGATGGAAGACTGGAAGACCTTTCTCTCTCTCTCTTTTTTCTCCCTCTCCCATCTATCTATCTGCCTCTCCTTCTCTCTCTGTGTAGCTCTGCCTTTCAAATAAATAAATCTTTAAAAAGAAAAATCATTTAGCTACAGTAATCATAGCATGCTACTTTCAAAGGCTTATATACATAAACTAATGGGAGAAAATAAAGAACTCAGCAATAGGCCTACATAGGGAAGGGCATTTAGCATAGTGGTTAAGACGTGGGACACCCACATCTCCTGTCAGAATGCCTGGGTTTGAGTCCGGGCTCTGCTCCTGATTGCAGCTTCCTGTTAGTGCACACTCTGGGAGACAGCAGATGGTGACACAATTAGCTGGGTCCCTGACATCCACATGGATCACCCAGACTGAGCTGTAGGCCCCTGACTTAGGCCTGGCCCAGCTCCAGCTTTTGCGGGCATTTGAGGTTATGAACCAACATAGAAGAGAACGCTCTCTCTCCCTCTTTCTCTCTCTGCGCCTTTCAAATAAAATGTGTAAATAGAAATTGTACAAAAATAAATAGATTCACAGAAATATACTCTGCTGTTTTTTGACAAACTGAAGCAACATTACAGAGGAATTCTACCCTCTCAACAACTTCTGCTAGAGCAATTGGACATCCATAACAAAAGGAAAAAAAAGAAAAACTGGGGCCGGCGCTGTGGTGTAGTGGGTAAAGCCTGCAGTGCCAGCATGCCATATGTGCTCTGGTTCAAGTCCCAGCTGCTCCACTTCCGATCCAGCTCTCTGCTATGGCCTGGGGAAGCATTGGAGGATGGCCCAAATGCTTGGGCCCCTGCACCCGCATGGGAGACCCAGAAGAAGCTCCTGGCTCCTGGGTTTGGATTGGATCGTTACAGCTTCAGCCGTTGCGGCCATTTGGGGAGTGAGCCAGCAGATGGAGGACCCCGCTCTCTCTCTTTGCCTCTGCATCTTTGTAGCTCAGCCTCTCAGATAAATAAATCAGAAAGGAAGGAAGGAAGGAAGGAAGGAAGGAAGGAAGGAAGGAAGGAAGGAAGGAAGGAAGGAAGGAAGGCCCAACACCTCATATGAAAACTAACTCAAAATTGATCATGGGCTTCAAAGTAAAATGTAAAAGTATAAAATTTTTGGCAAAAAAATTTAGGACCTAAGGCTAAGTGGACAGTTTTTAGACTCAGCAAAGACATAATCCATAAAAAGGAAAAATGGATAAATTGTACCTTATTCAAATTGTAGGTTATTCCCTGTTAAGGAAATGAAAATACCAGCTACAGACCTAGAGAGAACATATGTAAGCCATACATCCACCAAAGGATGAATATCTATACAATATAAAGAATGTTCAAAACTCAACAATAACAGGGGAAAAAATGAACAACTCAATTATAAAATATGCATTGCAATGAAGAGGATCTATTAACAGAAAATAAGCACATGGGGCCAGTGGGGTGGTGCACTAGGTTAATCCTCCACCTGCGGCACCGGCATCCCACATGGGCGCCGGGTTCTAGTCCTGGTTGCTCCTCTTCCAGTCCAGCTCTCTTCTGTGGCCCGGGAAGGCAGTGGAAGATGATCCAATGCTTGGGCGCCTGCACCCACATGGGAGACCAGGAAAGAAGCTCCTGGCTCCTGGCTTTGGATCGGCACAGCACCAGCCATGGCGGCCATTTGGGGAGTGAACCAATGGAAGGAAGACCTTTCTCTCTGTCTCTCTCTCTCACTGTCTGTAACTCTACCTGTCAAATAAATAAATAAAAATCTTTAAAAAAAAAAGAAAAGAAAAGATGCACATGAAAAAAGAAAAGAAGCACATGAAAAGTATTCAACATCATCAATCATTAAGAAAATGCAAAATAAAACAACAGTGAAATAGCACATACCTTTCAGAATGGCTTGAACAAAAATTAACACCAAATATTGGCACAGATGCAAAGAAACATTATAACTCAGACTTTCTAATGGGACTATGAAATCATACAGTCACTCTGGAAAGCAAATTGGCAGTTTCTCACAAAACTAAACATGGGCAGGCATTTGAA